TTTGACACTATGTTCTTCCAAAACACATTGCCCTAGTGAAAGAAAAAGGAGCCCTGGTAGTTCAGTGGCTAAAGTGCTCAGCTGCTAACCAAAAGGTTGGTGGTTTGAGCTTACCAGCCACTCTGTGGGAGAAAAATAAGGCAGTCTGCTTCCATAAAGATTTACAGGTTTGGAAACCCTATGGGGCAATTCTACGTGTCTTTATGAGTTGGACTCTACTCAGTAGTTTTGGTTTGTTTTCATTAGGTGTTGTCAAGTCGATTCCAACTTGTAGCGACCCTATGTACAACAGAAAAAAACACTGCCCAGTCCTGGGCATCCTTGCTATGCTTACAATCCTTGCTATGCTTGAGCCCATCATTGTAGCCACTGTGTCAATCCATCTCATTGAGGGTCTTCCCACTTTTCTCTGACCTTCCACTTTAATGATCATGATATCCTTCTCCAGGGATGGGTCCTTTCTGACAACATGACCAAAGTAGGTGAGATGAAGCCTGGCCATTCTTACTTCTAAGGAGCATTCTGGTTTTGGGTTTAGTTTAGTGAGAGAAATAGTAATGACTGTGTGACTTAAGTTTGTGACAATTTTTTGGTCCCCATGGAAGTTGAGTCACATTAACAAGTCCCCTTTGCACTTACTCTCAATTGAAGCTCACTTTACTCTTTAGGGAAAATTCCAGATAATTATTTCTGTAGACTCTTAAAGGTAAGTCTTGGCTAGCTTACAAAAAACCAAAAAAGCCAAACTCACTGCTTGCTCATAGCATTGCCCAGTCTTCCTTCTGAGGAGTGGCTGGTTAGTTTGAACCACCAGCCCTTTGGTTAGCAGTCAAATGCCTTAGGCACTACACCGCCAGAGCTCCTAGCTAAAGAAAAATAAAAGTAGTGATGTTGTAGTGAAGCCTTTCTAGGCCATAAAGTACAGTTTAGAAAACTCTTATAGCCTTATGGTTTTTCAGCTGACTTGCCCCTTTTCTCCAGGAGGAATGTCCTCTATAGGATAGTTGGCCTATTTTTACATAAATCTGTTGTGTCTTGGTATTTTTGTTTGTTTGTTAACTTGAAGGAGTCACAAGTTTAGATTGCAGGTTTAGATTCCACTTTTAGCTACAACCTCCTCTTCTGTGTACCTATAAAGTAAATGCCATGTAAATAGGAACCCAGGATAGGGTTACTTGTTCTCAAAAGGTCATGTACTGACTGCAGTTGCTGAGTAAGTGTTCTTGCATCTAAGGATGTTTGTAACAGTTGTTTTTCCATTTATTTCTGCAGAGTGTAGTGAAGCTGATGAGAGGACTGCTACACTGCATGATCAGACAGGTATGACTGTTGACAGCTTCCTTTCTAATAAAAGCACATTGTAATAGGATCTCTACCCCTTATAGAATGTTTATAACTTTCATTTTTTAAATTTCACAAATAGTGTACACAATTTTATAAAATTTGGAAAATCAAGGAGAAAAATCTCACCCAGTGGAATGTTTCCAAACTTTTTTTTCCTCTAAACAATTTTTTAACATGTTTCATCATTACTGTACATGAAATTATATGTAATTGGGTGAAAGATAATGTAAGTCTATAAGCCCTTGACTGAAAACCTTGGGGCCAGATAAACTTTAGAATACAGAATTTTTAAGATTTTAAAATGGTAGCACAGTACACATGCCATATATTAACTTATGCTTCCAGTGAGTCCAGGACAGTACTCTTATCAAAAAATGAATATCTCTGTAGGGAAATATTCATATTCACACCAAGTAGCATAAATGTTGTTGTTAATTGCCATAAAGTTGATTCTCACTCACGATGACTCCATGTGTGCAGAGTAGAACTGCTCCATAGGGTTTTGAATGCTGTGACCTTTCAGAAGCAGACCGTGAGGTCTTCCTACTGAGGTGCCTCTGGGTAGGTTTGAACTGCTAACCTTTTGGTTAGTAGTCAAGAACTTAACTGTTTGTGACACCCAGGGACTCCAGTGGAATAAATACAGACAATAAAGTAGCTCCATGTAAAGTTGAATCAGATTTTGCTACAAATGAATTTTGGTGCAAAGTTCAGGGGGTGAAAACACCTTTCTAACTGTTTTAGACTTTAGGATCAAAAACTTGTAGCTTGTTCTTGGAGCAGTTTGCATTTTCCTGACCTTGGGTTGAGCATTCTTTAATGTATAGATTGAAAATTTGCATTTCCTCTTCTGAGAATTGCCTGTCATATCTTTGCCTGTTTGGGTTGTCTCTTATGGGTAAGGCATTTGGCTGCTAACCAGAAGGTGGGTGGTTCAAATCTACCAGCTGTTCTGGGAGGAAGGTAACACAATCTACTTCTCTGAAGATTTACAGCCTTGGAAACTCGATGGGGGTCTCTATGTGTTAGAATGGACTCTATGGCAGTGGGTTTGATTTCTTTGGTTTTGTGCATTATATAAAAAAAAAAACCTCACTGCTGTCGAGTTGGTCCCGACTCATCCATTATGGATATTAATATTTTTCATATGTACTGCAAATGTTTTTCTAGGAGTCTATCATTTATTCTTTAAGTTTATGATATTTTTTCATACAAAAATGGTTTTACTTTTTCCTAGGAGATCTTAAAGCATGCTGCACATATTGAATCTGAGCTGTATTTTCTTGAGATCAAGATTATTTATATAGATAGATAGATAGATAGATAGATAGATAGATAGATTG